TTTGTGTTTACTTGAAAACAAATACATAGTTTAAGGTGTATAATAATTGTAATAGTTTTGTAACTACCTCAAAGAATTAGTGAAAGGATAAATTTTTCAATATATTAATTTGACTTAAACTTTAGAAAAATTAACGATGATATGTTAACCCAGATTATGAGGAGGTTGATTACAGATTTTTAAACTATAGAGGGGTTATAAGATAAACTACCAAATCACAGAAGGGAAAATTTTAATTTAATAAAAAATTATTGTGCTTTAAGTACTTGTAAAGTTTAAAACTTAATAATTTGTAATTTTGTTTTACACCAGTACATCCATTAAAATAAGCATTATGTACTAACACATATTTCTTGGATACATTGAATGGCAAACCAATTCTTTACCTATAATCTACGAAGGTTAATTTGCATGAAGCTAGCTAAACAAAAAGTGCAATAAAACACAATTTGCTACTCTTTTGTTTTGATACATTGTACACACATAATGGAGCAATAAATTTGAATTACGCTCATAAGTTGTTTAAATGGGGTTCAAAACATTATTTGTTGTTAACTTTGAGGGGATAAACTAGGGGTGCAAACGAGCCGACCTCGAGTCGAGCTTTGGCTAATCGAGCCGACCTCGAGTTAATTTTGTGAAGCTCGAGCTCGACGAGCTCAAAATATCGAGCTCGAGCTTGAGCTTGAGTCAAATTCGAGTCGAGCTCCAGCTCAAACTCGAGTTTAAAAAATAAAAAAATAATTATTATTATTTTATTTTTAAAAATGAATAAAATAATAATTTTTTTAATAAATAATAAAATATAAAAAAATAATTGAGCTCGTGAGCCGCTCGCGAGCCAACGAGTTTAATGTTTTTGAGCTCGAGCTTGAGCTCGAGATCGACTTAATTAGCTCGAGCTCGACTCAAACTCGATATTGACGAGCTCGAGTCGAGCTCGTATTCGAGCCGCTCGCGATCGGCTCGCGAGCGGCTCGATTCGCGAAACACCCCTAGGATAAACCATGAAATAGTACTATAAATTCACAAATTTTAAGTGCAATTGTACGCCTTTTTTTTCGTTACCTTGGATGAAGTCATCATAATGACTTCTGTCCTAGTTAGGGATGGCAATGGGGGCGGGTGCCCACAGGAAACCGCCCCGCGGGGGGCTCTCGGGGCCGGGGTTGGGGCGGGGACGGGGGGGAATTTTTTCCCCCGTTTAGAAACAAGGCGGGGAGCGGGGGAGTATACCCCCGCCCCATCCACCGCCCCGCCACCCTAAAAAAAAATTATATATATAATTATATATAATATGTAATTTAATTAGTTATAAACTTATGATAATGATATTATTAGTTAGATGTATTATATAATGTATATTAGTGTATGTAATATAATTAATATTATCAATTATACGAATAATTAGACATGTCTACTAATAGAATTTATTAATTAGTTATACTAAATTTAGTAATACATTTATACTAAATTTCTAATTATACTTAATAGAATAACACTTTTTCTAAAAAAAAAAGCACAAACACAATAATGAATTAGTGATTGTATTTGTACCAAAAGTGAAAACTTAACTATTTTAGTTATATTTATTTCATCATGTTGGATTGTATTCAAATAATTTTTGTTTGATTGTTTTTATGAGTTTCAATTATAAAATTAAAATGAATAATAACTTGATGATGTGTTGATATTTTAGTACTTGATTATTTATTAAAATTTAACTATAATAAAATTTTATTAATCTAGCGGGAAAAATTTTATTAACCCCGCGGGGGAAGCGGGGCGGGGCGGGGGGAGTGGGAGTTTGTAGGTAGCGGGGCGGGGGATGGGGGAGGGGTCCCCCGCCCCGTTGCCATCCCTAGTCCTAGTGGCATCTACTTGCGTTGTTTAGACAACGTAAAGTTTAAACTTTACCTAAATCGAGAAAACTTTTTTGTGAACAAGTTATTCACCTCAAAAAATAAAAACTCACATTATGTGCTCATCTTCATAAAAATATGGGAAGGGGATGGATTGGATGATATAGGAAAAGAGAGTATAAGTGAAAGGTTTGGAACTCGAAATTTCTCACTTACACTAAAAATAAAAAAAATCTTCACTAGAATGTGCACACAGCTATTATGCACATGGTAAATGAAGCTGTATTTTGATCAGCTTTGTACTTTTCGAATATATTTGCATTATTTATGTACAGTTTATTATTCGTATCATGTGTATTATAAAATTTCATATTATTTTCATGTTTTAATAAATATGCCCCAGCCTGCTTACTTTTTATGCTTTTATAGACCATTGACGGGTATTTTACATACGTGCAGGTTAAAAAAAAAAAAAAACCGAATTACACCCATTCACTGCAAGTATACAGGTCAACTAGTAGTTTAGGGTATATATCGGGTCGATCCCACAGGGAAGAGTGAACAATTACCGGTATTACGAAAGCTTCTCTATTATTTAGACTATCAATGAATTATAACAAATTTAACCTACTGAAATTATACAAAATAACAAATAAAAGCTCCTTAGATTGTGGTATCCTTAACTACTCATGCAAGTGCTATATTTGGATCATTGAGTACTACATCTAAGCTAGTTATGGTGTAATGTCCTTAAACATGTGAAACCTACTTTCGTAGTGAATCAACTATACTCATAACTAATCCATACCTATTCTCATGGTTATGAAATTAGCTACAAGTTCATTTCTTCAGTGAAATTACATGGAATGAATCACTAAAACCACATAGGTGTAGCTCTACTCTCGTGAGTGTATTCCCTATGTTTAGCACTTCTTGAACCAGTGTTAAATCTCAATTTTCATTGCAGAAACAACACCTTAGATAATCACAATCAATGGTACCAGATTAATCATGATTTAAAGAGCCAAAGTGCTAAATAACTTGCTCAAATCATAGCAATCAAATAACCAAATAATAAACACTAACAATTATAGAAAGTTCAACCAAACCCAAGGTATAAACTTTAGAGACACATATTGAACACAAAATCCAGAACTTGCATATCAACTAAACTTGGAATCAAGTACAAAAGATAAAGAGTTTGGAAGGAATACAACCCTTGTCACATGAGTTTTCTTCCTTGCCTTCTTCATCCTTTATCTTCTTCTTTATCTAGCTAATAACAAGAATGGATGAACTATCCTACTCTATACTAAGCTAAACTAACACTAGGAAGAATGGTAGAGCTACATTTTTTGCAGTCCAAGCTTTCTCCCGTATCTCTCTCTATCTCCCTTCAATCTTGTAAGCTTTTGCTATATAATGATGAAAGTTGGTCAAGAAGTGAGGTTTACACCTCCCTTTTACAGCTGAGAATGTTTCTCACATGTCTAGCATCACATGTGAGTTGGTGGAGATGAAATTGAGTTTTCCGCGTAAAGAGCAGCCTTCTCTGACCACAATCCGGCCAGGAATCCAGCCACAAATCCGGCCAAATTCCTGCCGGATTGCTACAGTGACCATTTGATCACTTCTGGTTCAATTTCCAGCTCTGCTCCAATTTTGCATCAACTTCCACTGAACTTTTCTTGATGATAAAAGCTGATTTAGCTCTTGATCAAAACATCAAATTTGTAGCCCTTTGAGTTAGCTTTCCAATGCATCAAGAATCACCTTATTTGGATCTGTGTAGGCTGAGAAATGACCGAAATACCCTTGCCTGCTCATTGCCCTGTTTCAGCTTCGACCAGTGGAAATTTGCTACTGTAATTCGGCTTTTTGACTTGGAAACGCTTCAAACTGGATTCAGATGTTTTCACCAAAGTTGTAGATCTATCTCTTATCTTCAAATGGGTTCAAGAATCATCCCAATCCGATCATTGTAACTCAAGTTATAGCCGAAATACGAAAATATGTCAAAACTATCAAAATACACAAAATCCAAGTAAAAAGTGATAAAAACCTCATTTAATTATTTAAAAGTATTTTTCACCAATTATAGCCAAAATCATTCATTTTCTTCCAATAATATAACTAAAGTGACTAAAAATAATATAAAATATTATACAATTATTACGTAAATTAGTCACTTATCAACCATTGCTATTTGCTTTAATCCTGTATAATTAGAGTGTTTTTTTCCTCCAAAAGAGACTCTAATCCTTACAATGAAGAAAGAGGAAGGGAATAGCTTGAGAATCGAAATTCAACTTCATGTTCATCTAATTCATAATGGCCCCTTCAGTTAAGATGGATCGTGAGACTATATAATTGGTAATTCATAATGGCCCCTTCAGTTAAGATGGATCGTGAGACTATATAATTAGAGTTACCGAAACGAAAATCCATGTAATATCCCAATAATATTGAGAGCGTAAGTGGATAATTGCAAGTTATGCGGTACTCAATTACATATAATATGATTTTCAAGTAATGTTTAAGATTAGTCTTGTATATACTAACACATAGAATCCACATCACAGAATGAAGTTTAAAGTCAAATAATTGGGATTAAGTGCCACGTATCGAAGTATACTTAAAGACGAGTGGAAAACAGGTTACTTGTAAAAAAACAAGCCTTTTATTGTCAAAATTAGCTAGAATTATTTGATCATTTCTTAGTTTGAGAAACTTGATATTGCTATCAACTTCTTCTTCTCTTGTTGTATCCTAAAGTTAAATTACCTTTATCTCTACAGCAAATACTTAGTGTAGTATGGATAATTGGATTCTTAAGAATAGCGATCAATCACGCTTCAAGAGCTCTCCATTCTTTCCCTTCTTTTGTGAAAGTTTACTCTAGAATTTTCTGTACTTCTAATGTGCGTTCGTACCACACACATCATTAGAAAATTGAATCGACATATCTATATATATATATGGTCCTGGTTTCGTACGAGAGTACGAGTTTGCAGAACTCTTTTTAGATTATCAAGGTATAGTTGGTTCGCTCACTCTATGATTCTTGTCATGCTTGAATAGCTCATTTTTTGTGCGCTTCCTGTCTATGGTAAATGGCAAAAAGAAACAACAAACAAAGAAACAGAAAATGCACTCAACGGTACTGACTTTCATTTAATTAATTATACGGAACGCTTGGTTGAAAGAAGAACTGCATTTATTACATATCACACATTTTCATGCCAATAAAGAAAATGGAGAAAATCAGACCAGCCAGAAGACATATATGTCCGTAGCTCATTCAGAGGTAAAGTTGCGGCTTCCCTGGACATTAATTATCTTTCACGAGTGGTTTCTTCTCCTTATACTCAGCGTGGTTGCCTTGATACCCCCAGAGAAAGGAGCCGGGCTTCGACTCAAAGTCTTTCATAAGAGGCTTCTCCTTCTTAGACTTAGACTCAGCGTGGTTGCCTTGATACCCCCAGAGAAAGGAGCCGGGCTTTGACTCAAAGTCTTTCATAAGAGGGCCTTGATACCCCCAGAGAAAGGAGCTGGGCTTCGACTCAAAGTCTTTCATAAGAGGCTTCTTCTCCTTAGACTTAGACTCAGCATCGTTGCCTTGATACCCCCAGAGAAAGGAGCCGGGCTTCGACTCAAAGTCTTTCATAAGAGGCTTCTCCTCCTTAGACTTAGACTCAGCGTCGTTGCCTTGATACCCCCAGAGAAAGGAGCCAGGCTTCGACTCAAAGTCTTTCATAAGAGGACCTTGATACCCCCAGAGAAAGGAGCCGGGCTTTGACTCAAAGTCTTTCGTAAGAGGCTTCTCCTCCTTAGACTTAGACTCAACGTCGTTGCCTTGATATCCCCAGAGAAAGGAGCCGGGCTTCGACTCAAAGCCTTTCATAAGAGGCTTCTCCTCCTTAGACTTAGATTCAGCGTCGTTGCCCTGATACCCCCAAAGAAAGGAGCCGGGCTTTGACTCAAAGCCTTTCATAAGAGGCTTCTCCTCCTTAGACTTAGACTCAGCGTCGTTGCCTTGATACCCCCAGAGAAAGGAGCCGGGTTTCGACTCGAAATCCTTCAATGTGTTACCATTACTTGTCTTCTTCTGATTGGAAAGGGACGACTCTGCATGGTGATTGTCCTCAGTATGCTCGTTAATGACAGCAGATTGCAAAAAGTCCGTAGGATTCTTCCTTGCTTCCGTGATGCATGCAAACTGCACATTTGTGCAAATATTAACATAAAAGAAACTAACGTCAATATAGGTACGTTGATGGTAGCACCGTAAAAGATGACCCCTAGTAGGGAAGGATAGTTAATTTCCAAATACGAGCTCAACTGGCAACAGGAATATTCCTTATGTTGATTTTAAGGTTCTTGATTTGACTTTCAATCTTTCCCGGATGAATCCTCTAACTAAAAAATGGTAAATAGTGTCATATGCCATTACTCAAGTTACATTGACGTTTAAGTATGGTACCAGCATTGGTAATGTTTGGAAGTCAAGCTTTTATGAGAATAGAACTACAGAACCATCTGAAGAGCTTCCATTCCTTCAGTGGCGATGGTTAGAGCTGCAGATAAATGTGCAAAAAGGAAGAAGAATGTGTTTTCTCAGGTAGCTTTAATTCACGGGTTTCATCAGTATTCCTATACAGTCTAGCAATTATCTCATATGAACTACTACTTCAAGTACAGTATTGATGGTTGAGAAACCTTACCAGGGCAATTGAAAAGACTGCGATCAGAGTGATAGATGAAGCCATGCCTTGCCTATGAACAGACTCAAAATGTAACTTTGGTGGTGAAAAGACTCTTGGGGGCTATACGGCTATTTATACAAGGCGATAGCTAAGTGAAGCTAGCAAGGTTACAACATGGATCACGTGGCTGGTTGGTTTGCATCATGTGGGTAGGTCTACATTTTGGTCCTTGTTTTCTAAACAATCTACAGTTGTGGTCTAAAATAAATTTAGTGATTTTGTCTAGATCTACTAGATTCAATGTTGTAGTATTCAAACTTGTTAGATTATTTAATAAACTTGAAACTGTACTCAAACTTGATTTTTTTAAAATTTTTTTAAGAGGAAGGTCTTCAAACTTGACTTGTTTATTAATTAAGGCAAACTCAAATGAGCTTTTTTATAGAATCGAGCATGAGTCGAACTTGAGTAATTTGAATTTTTTACTTGTAAATTCTAATTTTATGTTTATCAAGCCAAGTTAATGCCAAATTTGATAGTTAATCTAACACATAATAATACTTCTTAAATTTTGATTTGATTAGTTGGCAAATTAAGTTCAAACAAACTTTTATTTAGCCAAATCTGATTTGAGTATCAAGTAATTTGGTTCATTTTTCAACCTCAATAAGAAACACTATCTTTCAAGGGGTCATAATTTAATCGACTATTTGAAAAAGAACCTTCTAATCAAGCACACTTTTCATCCATATGTAATATTTGGCATTTGCTTCTGCTGTTGCCTAATCCTTCAAAGGAGGAGTTGCAAGGGATATAAAACCTACCAATTGATGGATTCCAAAGGACTTGCTTGTTGGATTATCCTCCTCCATCTGTTGGTTGTTCTGGTAAGTTACTTTGCCATTAATTTTTTTTTTCCCCGTGATATACTTAATTCTCACTCTCTTAAAACGCATTGCAACATTTACAGGGAGGAACTTGTGATATTATACCCAAGGCCAAGGATAGTACTAATGCAATCAGGCTCTAGGACTTGGATGTTAATAATCCTCATCGAAATGATAAGAGACATGATGTTAATCACGTACGTCCATGAAAAGAAAACCCACATGAAACCAGGGATTCACGGAATTTAGTTCTGAAGTGACCTTTTTTAGGAAAAATGTTCCCACTATGATGCTCTTTTGTAAAGTATTACCATTTTAATCTTTTTTTATGTCATGTAAGCTCCCATTTTAAATGCAGGAAGACCTTAATTAAATGAACATGATGAACCTTCTCATGCTATAATCTTACTCAATTCAAGTCAAGCTTTACGAGGCCTTTAATTGGTTCCCAACTATGGCTCGTGGGGCCATTCGACTTGATAGATTAGGAATGCCTTCAATTCGGAAAAATAAGCGTATGAAGGGCAGAACAAAGGACAACTGGAGCTAATATGCAACGAGACATGGAGGTTTTGTGTTTGATTTATTACCTTTTCAGTCGATTGCTGTACTTCGAATTGGTCTTTCTCAGTGTGTAAAATTTGCTCCTATCAATAAAATAAATAATTTAAAAAAAAAAGATTAATTCTTAAAAAAAAAAAAAAAAATCTTACTCAATTCATACTCAAAATTCAACGCCAAAAACCCAAATCCAAAGCAAAAAAGAAAGGGGCAACAAACATAAGATTCCACATTCGACTAATGAATTAGATATTATAATTAAGAAGTATTTTATGTTTTAAACACTTCAATCATCCAAATTCCTTTATATTACTAAACCAATAGGATTTGATTTTGGGTTTTTAGAAATAATATTATCATGTTACTCCCAGGAATTAGAGATTCTGAATTTTGATCTCCCTGTTCTCTTTTCGCTTTTTAAATCCCATCATTCCCCTACTACATTTTTTTTAAAAAAAGTGTCACTCATAAAAAATGAAAAAGAAATGCTATAATCATTTTATAATATTTTAGCATTAATCAAATCTAGAGTCTTTCCCCATGTTTACAACCTTGTCTCTTTTTCTTTCATTTTTCATCCTTGAATTTTGCTTTTTGCCTTAGCATTTCGAGTGTGAATGTGGAAATCAATAATCACAAGGTAGGAAAAAAAAAAGAATAGTATTATAGCAAAGGATATTTTCAAAAACTTCTTCTAAGATTTCTAATAATCTCATGTTGCCCACCTCTATATTCAAATATTACACTTCCATGCTTTTTTTAAGGACTCAAAATGATTATAATAAAATGCCTATCAAACTTAAAAAACACATCACCAAGAATCTTCCCATCACCAAATGCTATATCACTGTTATGCTACTTCTTTCGTATAGTTTTAATCCACCTTTTTTCACCTATTCAAGTTTTCTTATCCTGAATAAGATATTATAATTAAGAAGTATTTTATGTTTTAAACAGTTCGATCATCCGAATTCCTTTATATTACACCAATAGGATTTGATTTTGGGTTTTTAGAAATAATATTATCATGTTACTCCCAGGAATTAGAGATCCTGAATTTTGATCTCCCTATTCTTTTTTCGCTTTTTAAATCCCATCATTCCCCTACTAAATTTTTTTTTTTAAAAAAGTGTCACTCATAAAAAATGAAAAAGAAATGCTATAATCATTTTATAATATTTTAGCATTAATCAAATCTAGAGTCTTTCCCCATGTTTATAACCTTGTCTCTTTTTCTTTCATTTTTCATCCTTGAATTTTGCTTTTTGCCTTAGCATTTTGAGTGTGAATGTGGAAATCAATAATCACAAGGTAGGAAAAAAAAAAAGAATAGTATTACAGCAAAGGATATTTTCAAAAACTTCTTCTAAGATTTCTAATAATCTCATGTTGCCCACCTCTATATTCAAATATTACACTTCCGTGCTTTTGTTAAGGACTCAAAATGATTATAATAATCTTCCCAAAAGTAATAAAATGCCTATCAAACTTAAAAAACACATCACCAAGAATCTTCCCATCACCAAATGCTATATCACTGTTATGCTACTTCTTTCGTATAGTTTTAATCCACCCTTTTTCACCTATTCAAGTTTTCTTATCCTTTTTATAATCCAAGTCTCCATGTCTCACAAATTCTAGTGTTAATCATGTTTTTTAATTGACTTGTATCTCACTCTTTCCATTTGTTATCATTTTTCCTAAGACCAAAGTTCAATCAACGGCTACAAACACAAATATACGATTGTAAATTTGGCCAAAGCAATATAGCGGAAATGATTTAGGCCTGTGGCAAGACTCTTTAAGACTAGGAGAAAAACAAAAATATATTCATTGAATAATTTGATTTAAATATAAAAACTCCTTAAGGGAAATTTGAGGTATTAATATGAATTTTTTCCCTTACATCAGCTGCATATAACCCTAAAATGTTTTGGAGATCATGTGGCAATAGATGAAAATACAGAAAATTATATATAATTTACCTAATATTTTAGAAGAAATACATCCCTCTCCTGTATGATTAAAAATAAAAAAAAATTGGAATGGTTTTTTCCCCCTTTTTCACCCTTTTAATACCAAGAAAAAAAATAAAAAAGTGTCTTCTCCCTTTTTTCCACCCTCTTTAATAACAAGGGGAAAAAGTCAAAAAAAAATGTCTTCTTCTTTTTTTCCTCGTGTACTTATCAATACTTAAAATAAGAAAATAGAGAGATAACTCAATTTTAAAAAAAGAAAATAAAAATAATAAAGAATCCAATGTGCTTATTATTTTAAAATTGCTACTTACTCTTCACCCCTACCGCCCACTCTAACTTATTTTAAATTAATTATAATATTGGATTCTTCTTTATTTTCCTTTTTTCTGAAATTGAGTTTTCTGTCAACCTCTATTCAATTTCTTTTTTTTTCTTAATAGTTGAGAATGAAAAAAAAAGGGAACCCTTTTGCATTTTTTCTTGGTCCTCTTAGAATGAAAAAGGAGAATAACTGCGAGGTCAAATGCCTGCAAAATAATGTTAAAAAGGTAAATTGATATTAGCACTATAGTTTAAAGGGATAAAGTTATAATAACCCCCAATTTTAGTAACCTTGTTGCTAAAAAAATGTAATTCCTCTCTTTCCAGACATATAGTGTTGATATTTACTCATCATTTCATAGTGTTTACTCATCAGTCCACAAACCAAAGTTTACTTTTGCCGTATTCTTCAAGTTATTTTAAACACAAAAAATATGAAGATTGTTTCTAGAAACATTACTCGTGAAGGACAACGTATTCTTTGCCAGAAACCATTACTAGAATCAGATATTAAAGCTATGTTTCTTCTGCTGTTAATTGCTTGTATGTAATTGAGATCTTCTCCACCTCGATGCAAACTGACAGGTGCCGAACCCGTGCAATAATAAATACCTATTCGAGAAAAATACAGATTTTGTATATAGCGGTGAGTAGGGTCGAATCCACAGAGATTGGGGATAATTCGTTTCTTCTAGAGTCCAAAGTATGGGGGGTTTTGGATTAAAAGCTAACTAAATAAATTAACTGCAGAAAATAATTAATTAAAAGAAATAACTAAGAGAAACTCTAGCCAAGGATATACTTCAGAAATGGTTCATGCACTGATCATTGATGCAAAAATAATCCCAACATTTATTAATAGATTGGTTATAGTTGTCATGCACGCGATAAACAACCAACCCTTCATTAATTTATCGATAGCTAAGGTACGACCGTTAGCTATTTCTCTAACCCAAAAACAACCCTAAGTACGACCGTAGGATTTAATTCTTAGGTTGCATTATTAATTAGAAAGGCCCAATCCTAACTAACAAACACGCTACGAGGGTTTGTTTAAGCTAGATCGTATGCTCCCCTGACATAAACCCAATTACGCCAGTTGCTACTAAGATAGAGATAACGAACAATTACGGATTCAATTACCTCTATTTAGCAAAATAGCCTATATGAATAATTAATTATTGCGCACTAATCAATCATACACAAGGCCATAACAATTAAAATCAAGGAACATATAAATACCAATAAATGAAGAAAATAATTAAAACAGATTCGATCTCACAGTAATTGTTGAACCAAATCTTCAGTTGTCCCCTTGACTAGAATTAAGAGGTTAGTTCTCCATTAATGGAGAACAACCATGCGAAAGAGCTAAGAA